AAATCTGACCAAGTGACAACAAAAGAATCTTCCTCAAAGTCGGCATAAAAGTGCAAAAACGTGACTATTTCAGCAACATCGAACTCTTTAGTCATTTCAAACACTATAACTTGGAACACTTCATCTCTTGACGTGAGCTCCCACGACGCCAAGGATGCCAACAAACACCTTGCAATCTCGCTCCACACTAAATTATAGTTCTTGTATATTGTTTTAAAGATATCCGTAATCCTCATCGCTCCCTTAACATCCTTCCCAAACACAAACGTGACTTCTTCGTCGTCTTTGTCTTTCCCGGCTAAAAACGATCCGGTATCTTCCAAGTCTTCCTCGCAGAATTCTTTATAAAAAAAGTCGATGAAGTCCTGATTGCTCCAATCTTCTACTCATCAAAAAACTGTACTATATTATATAACTAAAAATTTCTCGTACATAAAAACTTTGAATGAATACAATAAAATTGTATTATAAAATATAATAAAATGTATTATATACTATAGTATAATATATATTCGTAAAAAATATAACAAAATGTATTAAAAAATATAATACAAAAAACAAACGGACCACACGTTTGAGAATCTTATAGAGGTATTTGTCCGATGTGACCTTTCCTATGTCCTTCAAAAAAACTTTATAATCCGCCCCCGTCCACTTTCCAACATGAGCGTTAAGCTTTTCATTGAGTTCTTCCAAAGATAGAACTACTGGTTCTTTAGCACGAGCGGCTTCTGCTTCTGCGCGGCGCTTTTCAGCTTCGATTTCGCTCTTATAAGTCTTAAAGGCCGCTTCGATGGCAGGAAGAGTTTCATCGGCTAAGATCAGAAAATCGGAAATTCCTTTGAAGTGAATAACATTTTTCTTCTCTTTGCCATCCGCTTCAATTGTCATTGTCGCATCTTTGCCTAATTCATAGACCTCTTTGGATGGCTCTTTTGTCCCTTTTTTGTCAAATAAATAGAGCGTCATGCCTTTCCAGAGAAGATACCGTTTCTTCCACTTTTTGTTCTCATAGATCAAAACAGAAGACTCTAATGTATAAGGCCGGACTACTTGTGAGAATAACTTCATCTCTTTACTACTCTCGGTCATAGCCGTTCAAAACTTAAAGTTCAATTTCATAGTTCCGTTTTCTTTAATTATAGAAATGAAATTCGGTATTGGACCGCAAAAGGTCGGGTGTGCTTTCTTTTTTTTTTTAATTACTTTTATTATTCAAATAAAGCAATGACTATAGTTTTTTTTATCGTTTTTCGTACTATCGGTATTATATTATATTTATATAATAAATATAATAATATGTTATTATTATTAGTTGTAAACTAGTAAAAAGTTATTATGTAAACTATTGTTCAAAAAATTATTATACAATTTATAATTTTAAAAGATATATTTTTATAAATAATATAAATATTCTATAAAACTAGTAAAATTTCTTCCTATTATTTATTGTAATTAATAGTAAAATAACCATTTGAACTGCAATTTGGAAAAATATTTGAGTGATACAATCTTAGAGAAAAAGACAAGAAAAGAAAACCCTGTTTGGAATGATATCAATTGAATAAAGAAACTTTAAAATAGAAAGAACGAGTTTGTTCTTATACATTGACCTTTTGTATTCCGTACTCACACGTCATAACATCTTTTGTGATTGTAATTTCCAATCACACTTTTCATTTTCTTCATGACCGGAATGACTTAACAATTGAGAGTAATATATAGTGAATTATTGGTCGAGCTTTTTTAACTTTATGCACATGGAATCGCCTATCGACACCCTTTTAAAGGACCCCATGTGTACTTTAGAGAAGTTAATGGACGTCGAGGACTTTTCTCGCGAGATGAAGACAAACGCGAAGTTAATAGAGTACTGCAGTACTCCCCAACGCCTTCAGAGTATCATTCAGTATTCTCTCTGTGATATTCCCTCTTCCCAAACCCGTGAGAGTGTTCTTAAATATCATTATATCTGTTCTTCCTTATTCTCCGATGAAGTCTCTCACATCATCGATCCCATCGCGCAGTCCACCGACATCGTGAGGTATTTATTTGATTCACTTAATACTCCCAACGTGACAAAGATGTCGAATGCGGCGGTAATTTTATCTTCTGCGATCTCGGTCGACAATTCCTTTGTTTTGGAATACCTCAATACCAATGATGACGTCATCACAATCTTAATCACTCATTTAGAAGTCGACGGGGTCTTAGAATTATTACTTGAAGCTATTAAATTAGAAGATATTAATAAAAATGGAACTATAGATCAAGTCTGTCGACTTGGCTTGATAGAAGCACTGTTTAAAACCCTCCAAAGTCATCCCTCTCTTGACGCTCTTGACAATATCACTGCGTTTGTACATAACCTTGTCATCTGGAAGATCTCAAATAGTGACTCATACACATCGAAGTTCGTCACGAAGATCAACGAGTCGCCGGAACTCAATCAATTCGTCCATTTCGCGTTCACGACGCAAGACGACTTCGTCGCGGCGCAGTGCCTCCAAATCATCTCAAACATTTTGGCGTGCTCGACTGTCTTGACATATAAAGACCAAGTGACTCTGCCGGGGATCTATGTCGCGCTGATACAACACTTAAGCCAATTTGAAGAGATCTTTGTCAAGAGGAAGATTGGGACGCTGACAAACAATTTGGTGTATATAGTCTTGTCTTTAGTCCTCTCCGGATATGACAAAGTGCATGAGGAAATTACTCGGCAGACTGTCTTGAAGAGTATGATTGCCGTCTTTTATGGCGCCCACTCGAGCACGGTAGTGAGACAGACGGTGCAAATCACTGTGGCGTCGATTTTAAGTAGTGGCACGACATGCCTCAAAGTCAATTTATTAGATGGTGGGAATTTATTAGATCTGATGGTACAAAAGGACAAAGAGGCTTTGGAGGAGAAGGAGAAGAAGAACATAGCGCCAGACTATTGGCTGATAGGCGAGAAAATGATGATTGGGTTCTATCACTTCATAGAAGACAAAGACGAACAAAATGAAGTGAAAGAGATCATCGAGAAGAACGCCGAGTTTGTCAATTACATGAAGAACGTCGTGATGGTCAGAGAAGACTACAAATCAGGCTATTTTGGTAAGATTGCACAGGGAGAGGAATTTACAGACGAAATTGATTTCGACGACGGCTTTGAGGAATTCGAGGAGGACGAAGAGTAAGCCCGTCATATCAAAAACAAAGAACAGCACTTGACTAAGACTACAAAGCTCCTCCAAAGCAATGTTTATTTGAATTTTGAGTGGGTTGGACGTCTACTATTCAGTATAATTCATTCTAGTACTAAAATACTATTTATAGAAGGATTTTAATTTATATAAAATTATAATTTTACAATAATAAATTATACTATTAAGATATAGTACAGTACAACGGCAAGACCGTTTGATTAGAGAATTAACAGAAATTAATAACAAAGCTATTTAATTAGTTCAGTTTGTCCAAATTAATACTATAGTAAAAATGATAAGAATGGATAGTACAGCAAAGTAGTTATCTTTTCGAAGTCCTATCGATTTTGTTCTGGGCAAAAACCTTCAAAAGAAATGAATAGATAGAAAGTGCCAAAAAGCCGAGTCAGACGAGAAATAAATAATTAAATGAAAGAAGGGTTTTGAACTGGTAAATTAAAAATGGTTTGTCAAGTTTCTTATTTCCACAGGACTCTGCTTACATATAGAATTACTGGAGTGGCATGTTTCGCTTTCCACCGATGGCGTCACCGTTAGATATATTACTTGGGAAAGCCGATTGCACGCTTGAGAAGTTATTGAATGAAGAAGACTTTATATCTGAGATTAGGCGGAATAACGACTTAATGGACTTTTGTGTTGAACCGGAGAACATTCAACGATATCTGAAGTACACGACATACGACATCACCCCGACGGACGACCCGGTCCTCTTTGAAAAGTATCACGCGATTTGTATTTCGATATTCACGGACGAACCCTCTCATATCATCGACGTCATAGGAACTAATGAAGAACTTGTGGAATACCTTTTTGAAGCAATACGGTCGAATAACGAGAAACGGATGAGTGCGGGAGGGTTAGTCTTGAATTGTGTGATTCAAGTGGGGAATGCGGTGGTCTACGATTTATTTACCAAAGACGAGACGATGTTGAATACACTCATGGCGCGGTTGGACATCACTGGATTTCTTGACTCGATCTTTCAAATCATGAAATTGGATGATATTGGGAAGGAAGGATGTATAGACTGGCTATGTAATAAAGGATTCATCCCAAAACTCATCACTACTTTAATGGGAACACAGTCATTGGACATCATTAGTAATATCTCCTCTTTCATTCGAAACGTCGTCATGTGGAAAGTCTCAAACGACAACTCGCATATCTTCCGGTTCATCACGTTACTTAATAGTAATGAGATCCTCCCCAAATTTGTTCAGTCAATGTTCGAGAGTCAAGACGACCTCTATGTCGAACACTGCTTCATTATTGTCAGTAACATTCTGGCGTGCAGTACTATACTGACGTATACTAACCCAGACGAGTTGCCGGGGATATTTAAAGCACTTCTCCCACACATCTCACACTTCGATGAGGTATTCAGAACTCGAAAATCCGGAGGCGTTCTGAATAATTTGGTGTACATCGTCTTGTCACTTGTCTTGAGCGGGTTCAAACAGATATATGATAAATTGGCAAGGGAGAATGTGTTGAATGTAATGATGGAAGTGTTCTATATGAATCATTCCTGCACGATTCTGAGACAAACAATCAAAATGACTTTCTTGACGGTGGTCAACGGAAATGCTATGAACGTCAAACTAAAACTCCTCGACGGTGGGAAGTTGCTCAAAACATTTGTTGAGATGGACAAGAAAGCGGTCGAAGAAAAAAAAGAGAAGAATCTTGGGCCAGACTACTGGCTTATTGCAGCTCGTTTGATGAGGAGTGTGTTACAGTCCGTGGAAGATAAAGGAGAGGAGGACGACTTTTACACCGCCATAATCGGTGACAAGGAGTTTGTGGATTACGTCAATACAGTCGTTGTTCCACGCGACGACGAGACGAGTGAATGTTTCAATAAACAGAATACGGCACATGAAGACTCAGAACAGTCGGACGATTCTCAGAACTTCGACGACGACGGGTTCGATAATATCGATGAGGACTTCGACGACGAGGAGCAGGACGTCGATGACGAGATTGTTAGAAACGACGACGATGAGGAAGACGACGATGAAAATGACGATAACGAAGATGTCGATGACGAAATAAAAAACGTTGAAGACAAGGACGACGACGATGATATTGTCAAAGACGTCGCCAAAGAAGGTGACGTGAAACAGTGATAGTTGAATTTGTGTCTTTTTTCGCTTTTTATGCACCTCCATTCTTGGAAATTCCATCTTTTAAAAATGACAAACTATATATTATAGTTCTTTAACCACAAAAAATACTATAAATCTGAATTCCATCTCATAATAATACAATGGATATTTTTAGTATAAATGATACTATAAATATAATATATCACATTTCGTTCAATTTTGGAGATTGAAAATGAAGGAACAAAACACAATATAAGTGACTAAAATAAGAAGCATTTCGACTTTTTTTGAACGTTGTTCTGCTTGACGTTCTTGGGGTCATCTGTTTCTTCTGTGCACATCTCGGCTACCTCAAGCGCCATTGCTTTAAGCGCCTCTTCGCACTTATCCCCCGTTTTTGCAGAACACTCGTAGAAGGCTTTGTACCCCTTTTCTGAAATGTAGCCAGACATCTCTGTCGGCTGAATGGTGTCATCAATCTTTGGCAAGTCCGATTTGTTTCCGACAACTATGACAATTGCTTTGTTTGCATAGTACTCAATATCCTTCGACCAGTTCTGTAAATTTTGAAATGAGTTTCTATCGTTCAAGTCAAAGACTAAAAACGCGCCACAACACTTTCTGTAAAACGAACTTGTTAATATCCTGAATCGTTCTTGTCCGGCAGTGTCATACAATCTGTAAGTCGGTTTTTTGTTTAAATTGCTGTGAATAATTGTGTAATGATTTGCTATTCATTTGTTAATAAAATAAATGTTTATATAAACCAAACTCTAGTTTGACTGATTTCGCCTTTGAAGACTCCGGAGTCGGGACGTCAACGACCTTAAAGTTTGCGTTAGTAGAAAGTTCCTCTTCTTCAGTGAAAGTCTTGTCTGCAAACCGAGTCAGCAAACAGGTTTTCCCAACACCTGCTTCTCCCAAGACTAAAATTTTATAGTTGTTTGAGGACTCTCCTTTGCTTTTTGTGAGTGTGTTTGGTGAGATAAATAACAAACGGATATTGCATCCTTTTTTCGGATTTGGAGTTTTTTAGTTTTTTTTTTGTTTTTTTGTAAGTAACTATTTTGGTAATTCAAATGGTCCATATTTAGTTTATTATTTTTACTAATGTTTTACTATGAATTTTTTAAAAAAAGAACCTCGTCACTCGTTGACGGGCTCAAATTTCAATAAAAATAATTAGTATTATAAATAGTATATTTTTATATATTATTTATTATAATTGTTCTAAAAATAGTTATAGTTTTTTTATTATAATATATTTATTATAATATTATAAAATAAAAAATAATAAAAAGCAAAACTATTTTGAATAATTAGTTATTAAAATAATATTTACAATTATATTATAGTTTTACTTCAATAAATTTAAAACTTCAACACAATCTCGAGATTGAATTATAAGAATGTCGGAATATCAAGCACGTCTCTCTAAACTTCGAGAGGAAATGCGCCGATCAGACGTTTCTTTCTATGTTCTTCGCATATCTGACCCCCATTGTTCTGAATATATTAATTCACACTTCAAACAAGTCGAATTTCTATGTGGCTTTACTGGTTCAGCCGCTGTGGTGGTTATAACCCAACAAGAAGCACTTTTGTGGACGGATGGGCGATATTACATTCAAGCAACAGCCCAACTACCTTCGTGCTACACCTTAATGAAAGCGACTGAGAAGACCACGCCGAAGGTCTTTGAATATCTTGCTGATAACATTTCCCCGTCACAGTATGTCGGGTTTGATTATCGAACGACGCCTTCTGAGTTTTACACCAGTTTAAAGGAGAAAGGAGTTCCAATGAAAGATGTCGATTTCATCGAACAAATGATTGGTGGGAAGTTAATTCATTTGGACGTTTACCCATTTCTGGGAGCTCAACTGTCCGTGGCAAAGAAACTTGAACAAGTGAGGGAAGTCTATAAGAACAGAAGTGTTGTACTCACTGCCCTTGACGATGTTTGTTGGCTGTTTAATGTGAGAGGAAGTGATGTGCCGTATATCCCAGTAGCTTACTGTTTTGCTATTGTAACACAAGAGAGAGCCGTCTTGTTTATTTCAGATGAAAAAAAGGTGCAGACTCTTCAACACATTTTGCAAATCAAAGAAGCTAACGTCGACGTTCTGCCTTATGACAGTTTTTATGAAAAGTTCTTGGAATTAGTCGGAGACGAAGTTGCATATGACGCAAAATCCACAAACGTGCGCGTTGAGCAGATTTTGGTGGGATCTGGAAAACATTTGTTTGACACCATTGAAGACCTCAAAATAATGAAATCAGTCAAACTTGAGAAGGAAGTTACGACCACTCAACGACTCCATGACATCGATAGTAAAACATTATGTGATTTCTTTGCTTCAGTCAATGAAAATTGTGTGAGTGAATTAGACGCATCTAAGTACTTAGAGAGTTTGAGAGTACAAAATAAGGAATACAATGGACCAAGTTTTGAGTCTATAATAGCCACGGGTAAGAATGGAGCAATTGTCCATTATAGAGCTACTGAAAAACAAAATAGTGTTATTGATTGGAACTCTTTGTTATTGTGTGATGTTGGCGGACAATACCCCGACGGAGCAACAACGGATGTGACACGAACAAATTACTACGGGAGTGTTTTGAATGTCGAGGAAAAGGTCAGAAGAGCATATACAAGAGTGTTACAAGGACATATCGACTTACTCATGGAAGTCTTTGAGAAGACTAAAACAGCAAAAGAACTCGATGTTGTAGCACGAGAACCACTTCTCAAGGAAAATTGGGAATACAAACATGGAACTGGTCATGGGGTAGGACTCTATATGATGGTACATGAAAGTCCTCCATCGTTTAGAGATGATAAAGTGTTTCACGAAGGGATGTGTATCACTATAGAGCCTGGGGTGTACTTAGAAAATGAATTTGGAATAAGAATAGAAAACCAAGTCATCGTTGTCGAGAGAGATGAGACCCATTTTGGCTTTGAAAGTTTGACTAAAGTGCCTTATTGTATGAAATTGATTATGACCGAACTCTTGAGTACTGAAGAGAAAAAGTGGATTAACACGTATAATAAACTCATCTTGAGGGATATTTTGCCTCATGTGGAAAGTGCAAAGACAAAGACTTGGATTTTAGAGAATACAGTTGAATTAATTTAATTCTTAAATACTTACAATTCGGGAGGAAAGTGCAATGGACGTTTACAGTTCAAAAAATGTTATAAAGACGAGAAATGTTATTACTGTTAAGAACTTGTAATAATTATTGTTTGGTATATTTACAATATCAAACAAACCACACCACATGGTCACATCAGTTGATTTGTGACTAAAAAGTCTCATATAGACAGACATAATTATGTTTACAAATTCATCCAAGTCAGTGTACTAGAGAAACTAAAAACAATGAAACAAATAAATCCAGGAATTACACTTAAGCACTTTGATAATTAAGGAAACAAGAGTGTGGTAATGTCTAAAACAAATCTTTTTGTTGAAAAAAAATAATTTACAAATAACAGAACATATTTTGGCAGTGCAACAAACAATGGTATTTGATTGATGTTACAATTGTTAAAGATAAAATACTGCGTAAGCATAAAGTACTTTTCAAAGTTTTTTGTCTTTAGTTTTGGAAACAAACCGATTTCTTACCAGTCAGAATCATTTTATATTATGCGACTCCAACTCCAACAAGTTTGTCATTTTTTATTTTTGAATTGTCTCGTTGTTTATATTTTTGCCTCGACAAGTTTTTTGATCCTGTCGTCCCCCGCCTTGAACTTCTCTGCGTCTGCAACTTTGAGAGTCTTCCATTGTGGTCTTGTTCTTCTTTCCTGTTGTCTTGTTTTCAGCTGAGACATTCAGAATCCCATTTGCATCAATGTCAAATGTGACTTCGACTTGTGGGACACCACGTGGTGCGGGTGGGATGCCACTCAACTCAAACTTGCCAAGCAGGTTGCAGTGTGATGTCATAGATGTCTCACCTTCAAAGACTCAAATGAACGCGCATGGCTGCTTGTCGAAATATTTGTGACTTCTTTGCTGGAATTGTCGAGTTTCGTAGGATCAGTACAGTCGTCACACCGCCTGCTGTCTCAATGTCAAGCGTCAATGGCGCAACATCAAGCAGCAACACATCTTCTGTTGTCTTTTACCATTTCCAGTCAGAACAGCAGCCCGTACAGCATCACCACAAACAATAGCCTCATCTGAGTTCATGCTCTTGTTGAACTCATTCCCATTGAAAAAGTCTTGTAGTATCTGCACAACCTTTGGAATACGAGTTGATCCACCAATCAGCACAACGTCGTCAATGCTTCCTTTGTTTAGTTTGGCGTCTTCAAAAACTTCTCAACTGGTTCTATTATCGACTTTGAATTCTATTATCGAATTCAACATCGATCATGAAGAGGTCGATGTTGAATTCTTCAAAATATGCTCTTGTGATAAACGTACGTTGATTATATCACTCAGTTTATCAACTTCAATAAAATAGTTGTTGTTGCAGACGATAGTGTTCGCTTTGTCCTTTCACGTAATGTCCCGAGTCGTTTGACTCAAGAACACACCTTCTTGTATTGTTGTGATGTCTTTTTGTTCTTCTTCTTGAACTCCACAATGAAGTGGTTGACCATTCTATCATCATAGTCTTCACCACCAATATTGTTGCCATTTGTTGCCTTCACTTCAAAAAAACATTATTAATCGCGAAAATTGACACATCAAATGTTTCACCACCAATATCAAAAATTAAGACGTTCTTTTCTTTCTCTGTCTTCTTGTCAAGTCCATGCAAGTGTTGTTGGCTTGTTGATGATTCTGAACACATTGATGCATGCATTCTTTGTTGTTTGTCTCATTTAAATTAGTGAGAAATTTGGTGTGAAGGAGTCAATGTGTAAAACCAAATAAGAACAATTTACAGGTGTAATATGTACACATTCAGAATTTAATTTTAAATAAAATATGAATCTCAATAGAATTAAAAATAGAAACTAATACTAAATGGTTGTTTATAATAAAATATAATTAATCTTAAAAAAGAGCCAAGTTTTTTTACCAACTAACTTCATATAAACAAACTAAGGAGTTCCAATTTTCATCATATTTTAAAAATGTTGTGTGAATGAATGGATATTTTAAATCGAGAATTAAAAGTGAAATATTTACAATCTTACAATTACAATTGTGTGTGAAACTGTTCAAAGGGCTTTCACTAAATGTATAAGTCTTCGTTCGAGTAACAGAGTCTTTTCATGGAGAGTGTCTATCAATGAGTTTATTTTTCTTTAATGTGAAATAGATAAATAACAAACAGAGTCCAAACTGTGTTTCAAGAATGGTGTTGATGACGTAATTCTGGATGTACAAATTATATACGCCAACACCATATGTACAGACACATACAATGAGTTCCAAGTCATTTGTAAAACTCCATTGTTGTGCCAATTCATTTTTGTGTTTGTCTTCGAAAAGATTGTCACACCAATTCCGACTAATAAAAGGAAACACTGTCTTTTGCTCGCATTGAAGCTTTGCCAAAAACAGTCTCACCTTTCTCATAGTTTTAACTCTCCACATAATTTCATGACTGATTTGTCCACTCCGAATATAAGAAGTCACGACACCTTGAAGACGGCGTTTGTCAAACAAAACGTTAAAGGACTCCTCTGGCCAATATTGTAAGTCTTCCCCATATCGGCACAGAGTCTCTACAAACGACAAACTGAACAGAATGTTCGCGTGTTGCATAATTGGGTGAATTTCTCTTAGTTTTGAGTGGAAGAAATATACACTTTTTGGGTCAACCCACTCGGACCCAATATCGATCTCATCGTCAGTAACTTCAGCCGTTTCTGTCGACGAGACTGTGCAATCAGTAATTTCATCTTCAGTCAACAGATCAGTCACTTGAGCAAAACACGAATCAGTTCGTTGACCAACCTTTTTTGGTTCTATTATGAGAGGGTTTTGCTCATTAAGAGAACATGTGAACAAAGCAGTTTCAATTGGTCGATCGTTTTTGCCACTTTCAATTAAAGACGACATTTGATGAGCTTGTGAAACCTCAGTGATTTGGTCTGAAGAGATGATTGGTGTTGTCGACTTTAATGGAACAGATACAGCTTCTTCTTCCATCAAAACATTATTTGTTACATTGTTGAACTCGACGCCCACATCTTCTTCCATATTCAAGTTAATTGAAGAAATGTTGTGTTCTTTTTCTACAGCCTTACTCGTAATATTCGAGTTTTTCTCGTTATCGTTCACACAAATTTCGTTGTCGTCACAATTTATAAAATCTGGAATTGGTTTTGGTAATTCATTTGTTTTAACTTTTAAGGGTTGTGTGTTTTGAACAGATCCCAAACCTCCAAACGTCCCCAAAGAAACAAACGGGGTTGTGTATTGTTGGTAGTGAGTATTTTCTCTTTCTTTTCTTATGAGTGAACTTGGATCAATTACGTCTTTTGTTGTCAAGTTATCAACTCCCTGGTCTCGTCTTTCCAATTGTTGTGGAGGTTGTATATACAATCGTTGTCTTCTTGTTAAATCAACGAAGTTTTGTGTAGCTTCATTTCGTTGTTTTGAATTAGAGTCGACAAGAAGACTTTCAGAGCTGATAGTTGAGCCTTCATTTTGTCTTTGTGGTGGTTGTGCGGAGACTACTGACCTATTCCGAAAGTTGCGATTTTTGAATGCATTTGGAAACCTTTTTGTTTGATCATTCGTATCAGCATCACAATTTTGTGTTTTGTCATCATCTTCTTTTGTAGTGAATGATTGTTGCTTTGAATACCACGAGTCCCACGAAATAGCTCCATCGTGAAATGTTTGTGCTGATGGAACATTATGTTTTATTGGGACTGTTGTTTTTTGTTCTAGTAAAGAGGGTTTCTCATATCCAATGTGTTGCGGATGTGTTTCTGTCTTCTTTGTTGGTTGTTTTTTGTGTCTTGGTTCAGTGTATGTTGATTTGTACCAACTTGCCCAAGAATTGTATGACGGAGTTTCTGTTTCCATCAAATTACAAATACAGTTTTAAATTTTGTTATTTACAGCAATTTTTAAAAGTAAAAAATGGAATAAAATAATATTTATTAGATTTGAACTTAATATTTAGTTTGTAAATAGTTTCGATACAATAAAAAAGGGCTTGTCTCACGTCAAGGCAAAGTCATACCAAACCCCTAATATTTTAAAGAAAAAAGATCTTGAAAATTCATTGGCCAAATAAAAAAGTAGTGAAGCAGCATATGACTTACAAATTTGTAAATAAATCATTTTTTAAAATAATAAAAACCAAAAACTTAAAAATCAAATCGATGTCTTTGTTTGACTAATATTAAGGTTGTTGTTAATTTTTCATGATTTAAAAAGTAGCAGTATAAAATCAATTAATTAAGTTAAAGGAACCTACATTGACCACCATCACCTTTACCAAAAAAAATATTTGCCGCGAGTGTATTTTAAAGAAAGTCCACCTTTCAGTCACTGTTTGTGCGTCCCCATGTCACCCACTTTCCTTGTCCGTACTGTGTGGATGCGGATGTGGTTCCCCCGCTTGCGGGGGGTCCGCGCCAAGGGAGGACTTGGAAAGTGGGTGAAACGGTGCACAAACAGACTGTTTGAGTGCGGCCTTCAGAGCCTTCCTTTTAATGCTCCATCTCACTCGGTTTCCACTAACTCGAGTTAATTTTTCGGCATTTCTTGATTACGGGAACCAGACCAAATACAGTCAAAGTTTCCTATTTACTATAATTTTAATTTGAATATAATTCGAAATAGAAAAAAAAATAAATATATTTTTAGAGGTAATGTGGTGGTCAATGTAGGTCTTTTAAGTTAAATTTAAAAATTTGTCATGAAATTCCTGTGGTCTAACCACCAAGAATTCAATAATGCATTTTCAATTTGATTTGTTATTGGATTACATGGCTCGGAGCAGTCTTATCCTTCAACCGTCTCTTCGCCTTCGGGACTCTATGTTCCCTATTCGTCATGTGGAGAACAATCTAGTGAGTTTCCTAGCTCAAAGGAAGCTCTCCCATGACTCAAGTAAGTCATCAGATCCTTCATACTAGAGATTGTGACATCACTAATTATCTTAGGGAGGTCCAATCTGATCTTCAACAGCTTTTCTATCCTTTCCACAGAGAGCTTGTTTATCAGTCCGCTGATCGTTTGACCACAGGAACAGTGGTCACACTTCGCAGATTCCTTGCACTTCAAAGCTTCTCACAAAGTGTGCTGTATTTTGACACTTTTCGGAAGTAAGCAGTGGCGAGGTTTTCATCTTTTACAATTGTGACATCAACCACATAACCCTTTTTGGCTTCACTGTCTTGCCAATAAATGTCGGGTCTTCGAGCAAAGCTTTGTCTGTCATCACAGAGCAGATTTCTTTCGGCAATGACCACATTCTTCTTCTTTTCGTCGTACATGTCTTTGGGAAACACCGTCATTAAGGTGTTCTCATCTATCATCTTCAGCCTCTTCAGCTATGCCATATGGATTTTGTCACAGACTACATTATGTCTGGCTATTTGGGACTTCTTGGTTATTAGACAACTCAGCAAGATGTGTCTAATGTTGGTTATCTGGTCTTTGCAGCAGTAGCATCGTGCATCAGAATTGTTTCTAGTAATGGTTGCCTTCCTCGTCCCACAAAAGGTTGCCTTTTCCTGCATTCTCACCACTTGAATGAATGCATCTCTTTTGATGTTGCAGTTCTTAGATGCTTTTCCTGAGATATCTCTGTTGCATGCGACATTCTCAAACATTTTAGCAATAATACCAGCCTCCTTTTTGGACTTCCACTGCTCAAAGAAGAAGGAGTTTATATTTTTAGGAATGGCATTCAAAACCACTGCAATCGACTTGTTTTCTGGGGATTCTTTTCTATGCAGTTTTGCAGTTCTTGCTTTGTCTTCTTTTTCTGCAAATAAGCTACAACTC